GGGATCCTGTTGTGTTCAAGGCAAGGACTTCAACCACTAGGCTACCATGCAGGGCCTGTGCCTATTTTCTAAAACAGTTAAATCCTTAATAAATTATTATCCAATGACTTATCAGTGGGTTGAAAGGAGAACTTGTGTATGGTGGTGGTGGTGGTAACTGAACAATGTTTTATCCTTCATAATTGTAACTCATGGCTTTTCACATCATGAAAAGTAAATAGTGGATCTTTCTGGGGTAAGGCCTTGACCAGCAACCAAGGAAAGAGAAATAAAGTGAAGAGTTCTGAACTGTGGACATGGGCAAGAATCAAGGGGAAACACAGGATTGGGAGATTTCTCAATTCACTCCAATGTCCACTTCTTTAAAGTTGCTACTGGAGTAGGCACTGTGCTACAGCAGGTTCAGGACAATCTTGCTCAGATGGACACCTGCCCCTGCTTCCAACACAACATCCTGCGATGCACACCCTTGAGGCAGCAAATGATGGCTTACATACTTGGGTAGACCCAGATGGAGTTTCTGGTTTCTGACTTTGACCAGATCCAGCCTTGCATTATAAAACTAGACATTTCTTTCTCCCTGTCTCTTCCACTCCCTTTCAAATAAAATAAATAGATAAATATTTTAAATTATATTCTAGGAAGAGAGAACTATGGGAGAAGTGGGAAAGGTGAGATGAAGAAAAAAGGAGAAACATTTTAGGCAAAATATTTTAGTCCTAGACGCTGTGTTTTACTCTGGGCTGGGATATGTTGGCTTTCTGTTTAAAAAAAACAAAAACAAAAACAAAATAACAGCAGGTGGCAAACTCTCCTTAACTGAAAAGTCAGGAGGTAACTCAGTATTGTACAAAGTACATAGGCTTTAGAATCAGACATGTTTAGATACCCTGCTTGTCATGCGAATTCAAGCAAGCTTAATCCAATCAGAAAAGTTCTTGTTTCCTCCTGGTGTGAATCTCAGAAATAAATAAGATAATACAGGTAAAGGGACTGTCACATGGTAAGTGTTCAATTTTATGGTATGTGTTCATGAACAGATGTACAAAGTGATTGGCTTAGCTCAACTCCCAGCACTGGGCGCTTACTGTGTGGCTAAGGCAACATCCTTAACTGACTACAGCTTTGGTTATTTCACCTGTAGAGTGGGCACAATGGAAAGATCTAGTGCCTACGACTTTTACAAGCATTGAATGAAGTCATTTTTATAAAACCATGAGAATGCTGCGAAGTTCACAGTAAGTGCCAGAAGACAATCCAAAGCTGAATGTCTACTCAATTTTAACATCAAACCCAATGGAGTTTAGATGAGAAGCCCTAGCAAGCCCTAAATGTTTTCCTGAGAAGAGGAATGTAGGACATAAAAGGCAGAGTATGTGGCACAGGCCTGTAGGATACATGTCCCTGTGACAGAAGTTAAGGCGGAGATTCAGTGAGGCGGGAATTCATGGACATTTATGGTCACATTTTTCAGATTGGCTGAGGAAATCAGCAGGCTCCTTGCCAACTTTCTTTCTGTTCACAGAAATAAAGGCTCAGTGTGTTTGAAAAGGAACTAAGTTTTTTTTTGTTTTGCTTTTTTTGTTTTTTTCTTTTCTTGATAGGAAAAGAATGCACTTATGCAACCAAGGCAGACTTATTTCTACTCAATGAAAATCTGGCCAATGGGAAAGTGATTAAAAAGGTGTTGTGAGCTGATCGAGTTGGCTGACTTTCTTACATTTCACATCTAGTGCTACCAAAGAGATGCTGAAACCAACCTATGGTCAATCAGTTCTAATAGGAAAAGGCTGCCACCCTAGCACAAGGGCCTTGCATCCCACTGCTCTGGCCCTAGCAGGAATTGGGGGCCCCTTGCTTAATGCTGCTCTGACATCTCTCTTTGTCCTGTTTTCAGACTGTTGGTCTCTCCTGGTACTCATCTGGAGGCAGGGAGGCAGCAGGAGACACTGGCATGCCTGAAGTCAACCATACCATTGGTGGTTTGGGAAACAATTTTTAGTGGTATGCAGGCATTTCTAACTACATACATATTTATTTTTGTGAATACCTTCTATATCTAGCAAACAATGTTGATTTTTCCATTTTTGGTTGTACTGTTTTGTTTTACTTTAAAAATAGTGTGACTTAAGGAACAGAGCAAGTTGATTTCACAATATGTACTTACTAAATTTATATTTAATATATGCAAGTGTATGACAAAATGGCAAAAGGTAGACAGACTGAGGTTCTAGAAAGGTTGTAAAGTTCTTTTCCCTGGGTTGTGCTGTCCTTTGCATTCAGTCTCACAAACATGCTCACATAGGAAGTAGGCAAACAAAGTAGGTGGTAGGTTACTTGTCTTTCTCTCACTTTGAACTGTGAGCTCAAATTAGCAACTTGTCTTGTGAGGGCACCTTATGTCGGAGGAATCATGTACACATAATAACTGGAGTTTCTCGAGGGTGCTAGGAGCTTTGTCTCCTAGTCGTTTTGATTCTGGAGGAAATATTTCAAGAGATGAGTCTACAGGATCAGGAGCATAGATCTCCTATTAAGTTAAAACTCTTTATCCTCTTTCCTTTTCCTTTTCAAGCACCCACCCCTATTTCTGTTAGTAATAAAACCCAGTTTTTCTGGTCAGTTGTGCAGTGTGGGATATGACGCCCTCTAGTGACAGAAAAATTCTTTGCTGGAAATAGCATACCTGAACATTCAGCCTATAGGATTGTTAGGGCAATTATCTTGGGTTTGAAACCATGATAATCATTGTAACAATTAATTCTGATAATAAAGAATTTCTGGCACAGAGAATTTTTTCAGCTGGGTAACTGCTGGTGGCCCAGGGTGCAATTTCAGGGCTGAACCCACCCAGAACTATGGGGACTTGAACTGGTTCTACCCCTCAGTGTGAGCTGGCCCTGCTTTCAGTTCTAGCTGCAGTTCCCTGCCCAACCAACCACATGAATCCCACATCTCACACCATCGCCTTTCAAATCCAAGGAGGAGGAAACAAGCTTGTGTCCCAGTGTTTCTGGTGAAAATCTCAAGCTTTGCTTCCACTGAATATGACGTGCTGATGGGTTTAGGCACAGTCGGATTACCTGCCCGTCTCTTCTACCTATGTGAACACCTGGAGCCTGAGGCTGCTGTCAACGTCACCACGAAGGGACAGTTTTACAAATCAACTTGGTCAGTCCACAGTACCTAAAGCTTGATCAAACGCTATTCAAGATGTTTCTGTGAGGGTGTGTTTTGCGTGAGATTGACATTTAAATAGGTAGATTTTGAGTAAAACTCTTACTTTCCATAATGTGGGTGTGCTTCATCCCAATGAGTTGCAGGCCCATAGGAAAAGACCCATCTTCCCTGATAGAGTGGGACTGGGGCCAGTCAGCTGCTTCCAGATTCCATTAGCCACTCTCCTCTGGGTCCCCACCCTAACCTGTGGAGTTTGGACTTGCCAGGCTCTGCAATCACATGCGTGAGTTCCTCCAAGTCTATTATCTAGCCAGTTCTTCATACCATTGCTTCTGCTCCTTAGGAGAGCCCTGCCCAAAAGGATAGCAGGGCAGTTTCTCTTTTCTAAGATTTACTTATTTACTTGAAACAGAGATTTTTTTTCTGTCTTCATCTGTTGGCTCACTCTGCAAATGGTCATGCGCATGCTAGGCTGAAGTCAGGAATCTGGAGCTCCACCAAGATCCCCGTGCCTACAGGGGCCCAAGGATCTGGGCTCTTGTCCCAGCTGTCCCAGCTGCATTAGCAGGGTGCTGGGTTGAAAGAGAAGGCAAGGGGTGAACTTGGCGGAGACAGTGTCTGAACCCTGTCCTCCACAGGCCAGGCTCAGCCTGGTCTTCTTCACCTCATTGACACTCAACCGGAAAGCGAGGCAGAGACAGGTAAAAATACCCATGAGGCTGGGTGACAAGTGCAGGGACAGATGCAAACCAGGCTGAGGTGAAAACACGTAGGAGGATGGCTTAACAAAACACCAGAGGCCTGAACAGTAGTAGGGGCCCCGATGGTCTCTTCAATGTAACGTTTGTCTGCTAAGCATGCTGCCATTTATAGCTTGTAGTTATTCAATCTGGTTGTCAATGTTTTTATTTACAGGCTGGCAGAGCAAAGTGTCAACTAAGGGCTAGCCTGAAGGGTGAAGAGTAAGATGAATAGGGGGAAAAGAATGCTGATGAAGGGTTGGTTCTCACTGGGAAGGGCCTCAGTAGTCTGAGATGCCAAGAGCCAGAGGATGCCAAGGAAATACTGAGTTTCAGGTGTGCCTAGTCTATGGCCTGCATCCAGCCTCAGGCCCACTGAGGGTACCATTCTACAAAGTACCCTTCCATTGAAAAGAAAAAGCAAAAAGCCTTGCAAAATCATCCAAAGAGTTCTCTAGGCTCCACGCTCCAAAACAATCCTGACTTTGACCAGGTGTTAACCACAACACTGAAGCATTGCAACAACCAACATTTTTTTTTTTTTTAAGTTTGGCTAGGAAACGGTGAGTAACAAAGGAGAGGAAGTCATCATGAAGGTTAACACAGCAGTGAGCTGTCAGTGCTCAGCTTGCTCCCCTTTGGAGAAGTGAGGTTACAGAGCCTGCACTCAGGCTCACAGCCCAGCAGCTGGACCTCTCCTCCTGGCCGCTTCACACACACACACACCGGGGACCCCTGGGAGCCTCCCCGGGGCTCAGCGACGACGGGGGTCTTCCCCTAAAAGTCCCCAGCCGTCAACCAACTTTCTGCACCATAGTCTTCGGTTGCAAGAGATCGCTAACTCTCCCAGGTTCAAATACAGCCAGCAGGGCAGCGGGGGACTGCAGCCGGCTCTCCAGGTCCTCACGAGAACCGCACACCCAGGCGACTGCGGAAGCCGCCCAGGATGGGAAATACCAGGGTTGTGCAACAAACCCTGGCCCTTTCCCCACCCGGCTTCCCCCACGCCCACTGCCGCGCAGGCCAAGTTGCTGAATCAATAGAGCCCTCCCCAACCCGGCGTTCCCCGCCTTAGCTCCCCTCCCCCGGGGGGGCCCGACCGTGGAGGAGGAGGACAGACATTTAGACACAGGTGTTGAAAGACCGCTTCCGGGAGAAAGCGGCAGGCGAGTAACTGCAGGAGTGCAGGGCTGGGCCCTCAGAGGACACACCCGGGGCTAGCTGAGCTCGAGGAGCAAGGTGGAGCTGTCGCTTGCGCCCAGGGCTAGCTGATTCGCTGTGCTCGGAGGTGAACAGGTGGATTGCCACACGGCCATGCCCGGGATCAGGCTCCTCCTGCCTCTGGTGAGCCCTCTCCTGCCCAGTTGCAGGATTCTGGTTGCTTAATCCCGGGGCGCGCGTGGTGAGGCCGGCTGGGGACATGGCACATGCGGTGGTGTGGCACAAACGCTTGAAGATCCTGTCAGCGTCTGGGCTGCGGGCGATACTTGGCAACCTTGCTTTCGGGAACTGCGAGGGCCTGCTGTCCGGTCCAGATGCTGAGAGACCAGGGGACGGGGTTGGGGTGTCACGCTTTTCTGGGAACGTATTGCGAAGTGCTGGCCCCGCGCGCAGGCGGTGTACCTCCAGCACTTCTCGGGGACGCTCAGGCTCGTGGGGAGAAGGTGGGCGTGGGTGCTGAGACAAGCTCAGAGCGCTGCAGGCTTTGAGGTCCTCGGAGAGGACCCCGGCCGGAGAGAAGACGGGTCCTCGGTCGGACTAAAGGACAGCGAGGAGATGGGTGGGTGGGTGCGTGCGCCGCCTCCCAACCCGAGCCCGCGGTCTTCGGATCTTTGGAATCACCGGTTTCTTCTTAGTCCTCAAACCAGGGGAGTAAGTTAGCACCAGGTAGTAGCTACACCCGCGGGGGCTTCAAGAGGCCCCGGGTCTTCTGGAAAGTTTATCTTGGGGCGGAACACGCCTCAGTAGGCAACACAGAAAAAGAAACTGTTTTGTTTCCCTTCCGGGAATTCCTCTCCCGAGGACTCTGAAGTCACTCCCTTGGGGCTTGCTTTCCTGTTTCTCAGCCGGTCTTTGTCTTGGGCTCTGGGCGCACACTCCCCAGTTCGCGGTTCCCAACCCCCCATTCTGACCGCGGGTGCGGGTCCTCCTAGCACGGCAGTTTCTCTGGGGGAGTCCCCTCGATCAGAAATGCCAGCTTCAGGATGGCCAATCAAAGGCTCGTGGCCTCAGGAGGTTGAGTTGTAAAGTCTGTGCGAGTCGCGGGTTTCTAATTTTTTGGGTTTCCAAGGCAGTGCCAGGCCGAGAGAATGCAGTCCACTCTGGGAGGCCAGTGGTAACAGAGGGTCCAACGGGGGAGGGGGACGGTCGGAGAGCTGAAGTTAAGTGACAGATCACGGAGCCACTGTGTGGCAGAGCTGGGACAGGAATGAGTTCTAATTCCGAAGCAGTGTGCTAGCTGCAGATCACCACCTGATTACACCAGGAGTTGAAGGGAGATGTCTGAGACCATTTTGCGATTGGGGGAAAAAAATACCCTGGATCCTTTCCAAAGTATTATGCTCTTTAGGTGCTCTTGTAGAAATTTCTTTAGAGATATGGCAGTGCTAAGAATTGAGAACCATTCATACAACCTCAGATTACTTTTAAAAAAAAAGCTTATTTCTTGGACAACATTACTAACAGCAAAGTGTCATAAAACTGCGAGGCGCAGCCCCCGGCTTCTTTAACCTTTTATTGCAGCATCTATTCCAGGGAATGCTGCATGTGTGCAGTACCAAGAAAACGTTGCTATTCTATAAGAACGCTCACACACGCACCTGCTCACATACGATTATGTATGTCTGCAATAATTTTAATATTAAAGTTTGTATTTATTTTATATATGGCCTCGGAGACCAGTTTATTTAATAAAATTTAAAATGCAGATGAATAAAATTTAAACATGAGCTAAAACTCTATTACCTACATAATCATTGCATATATACACACATATATATACACACACATAATTATTTATTTCTTTTTTATGACACAGTTCCATAGGCTCTGGACTTTCTCTTCCATCATTGCTTATATTTAAGCATATCTTCCATTTTCCTCTCCTTACTATGACTTCTTTAAAAATTTAGCTACACACCCACCACTTGCCCTGCTTCAAGTCTCTGTTGTTTGTTTTTGAGATGTATTTATTTCTGGGCCCGGCACCATGGCCTAGCAGCTAAAGTCCTCTCCTTGAACACGCTGGGATCCCACATGGGTACCGATTCTAATTCTAGCAGCCCCGCTTCCCATCCAGCTCCCTGCCTGTGGCCTGGGAAAGCAGTCGAGGACGGCCCAAAGCCTTGGGACCCTGCACCTGTGTGGAAGACCTGGAAGAAGCTCCTGGCTCCTGGCTTTGGATCAACACAGCTCCAGCCATTGCGGCCGCTTGGGAAGTGAATCATCGGATGGAAGATCTTCCTCTCTGCCTCTCCTCCTCTCTGTATATCTGCCTTTCCAATAAAAAAAAATTTTTTTTTTTATTTCTATTGGGAAGGCAGATCTACAAGAACGAGAGACAGAAGTATCTCCTGCCTGCCGGTTCATTCCCCAAGTGGCCGCATCAGGTCTCTGTTCTTAAAGAACTGCCACACTGTGTGTCTCCATCAAATACTTGCTCTTCTGCCTTTGTGCTTGGAAGGGTTTTCTCAGCCTCACGAATACGGCTGAATTCTGCCGTGGAACACAAAGCAAATTTGATGACAGTGATGTAGAACTGTTTCCCATCCCAGCCCTCACCCTCTCCTCTTCTTTCTTCCCTTAGCACTATTTTCTTCAATGTTTATATCCCATCCTTTATCTTTTCCCTTCATTCTCCTGGAGCTTTCTCTCCCCTAGATTCCAGGTATATATATTTTCCAAGACACCCACAATAAGTAAGTTAGAAATCTACAAACATCCACACATTGATAGAGACAGGAAAGCTGTCCAACTTCACAGATTTGTTTGGGAAATACCTCTGAGCACTGCCTGTGTTCATTCCCACGGTGTGGCCTTTCAAGCGCTGTCCTGTAATGGTTTTTAGGACTGAAGTTGGTCAGGCACTACACAGTCAGTTTCTTCTGCATTTCTTCCAACAATTGTGTCAAAACTGGGGTCCAAGTAAAGAAGAAGACATCCTGAAAAACAACAAAAGCCACAGCATATTTTCAAATAGCCAGACAATAATTTCATAAGGGATGTAAAGGAAGTTTTTGAATTCATAATTTAATCTTTACCTTTAAGCTAAACCAAGAAACATGAACTGGATTACAATGTCTTTATTTAGTCTTAAATGGATTTTGCTTATATCTCAAAGGACTCGAAAAGTATTATGAATACAGTAAAATTATGAATTGTAAAAATCAAAACATCAAGAATTGATTGCATAAATGCCAGTGTAGAAATGACAGCATGATGGGAGAAGGGAAACATTAGCCTGAGGTCACCACGGGGAATCCTAGTACTAGCTGTAGACAAGTAGTACGTTAGTTTAAATTGGAAAAGTAAATTGTATTTTCTGCACTGAGGTTGCACGGGCGGGGAGGTGAAATAGAATCAAAGGGGAACTGAGATGTGGCTGTTGTCTTTAAGTTTCTGTAAGGGGACAAGTGATGGACAAGTGCTTCGCTTCTAAATAATCTTACATTGGAAGTGACAGCACTTCGAAGGATTCTCTCTGAAGGTTAGGAGATCACGTTAGGAAAGCAGAGTCACTTTAGTACAACTGACATTTGGACAACAGAATGGTTTTTCTAAGAGTAAGTAAGAAACTTGAGTAAGGAAATTCCCCCCTTGAAACCCCCTAGTAGCTTAAGTGCTTTTTGTGGATTATCTTGGGTTCCAAAAGTCCCTGAATGAGCACATGTTTTGTAATTAGCATTAAAATTGCTTTCTGATGAGGAAATATAAAAAAGAAACATATTTACAAACGATCCATGAGATACAAAGCAAGTTGAGGCCAAGTTTAGGACAGTAAGTCTCTTTTCTGTTTCAAATATGTAAATATTGAAAACTAGTCATATGATGCAAGGAAAAACTAAATATTAAAAAACGAAGTCACTCATTATCTCACCACCTTAATAAGGCAGTTTTGATTTTACTGAAAGCTTCTTACCCATGCCTGCACATATTCATAACTGCATGCTTAACTAGTACCATTTGTAGTCTGCTTTTTGTCACTTTGCATGTACACAAATCTTATAGTTCTAAGTAATTTTCATCTCATAATTTTATTGGATTAATTATAGAGAAGGAATTTATTGAGTTATTTGGGATTATTATAATTTTTATTGTTTATTTTTACAATTTACCATTATATAGGAAGCATTCTTTTCTTTTTAAAGATTTGTTTTATTTTATTGGAAAGTGAGATATTCAGAGAGGAGGAGAGACAGAGAGAAAGATCTGATGATTCACTCCCTACGTGGCAGCAATGGCTGGAGTTGCGCTGATCTGAAGCTGGGAACCCAAAGTCTCTTCCAGGTCTCCCACGCGGGTGCAGGGTCCCAAGGCTTTGGGCCGTCCTCGACTGCTTTCCCAGGCCACAAGCAGGGAGCTGGATGGGAAGCAGGTCTGCTGGGTTTAGAACAAGCACCCATATGGGATCCTGGCACCTGCAAGCTGCTAGGCTACCGCGTCGGGCCCAGGAAGCATTGTTACATATAGTATGATATATATGTATGCATAGATCCATGTATATACAAGACACCAATCATACATATATATGTATATATATGTATATACATATATATGAATGTAGTATATAGCTTTGTATTCTTCCTGCTGTGTATACGTTTTCACAAACATGGAAAATCAGTACTTAATGACTCAAAAAGGCTGTTACATTTTCTGGAAAATTCCTACATTATGTTCTTTGAAGAGACAGTATAAATAATAAAACCCAAATTAGAAAGAGGCTGACTGCGGCAAGATTAATCACCTGCACCTTCTTGATCTGAAATGAATTGTGCAGTCCAGTCATTCCTATCAGTGAATACGTGGAGAGACCTCAGTTAGAGTGATACAGAGCTATTGGCCCGAATTGCACCTTGAGAGTAATTGTAATGGAAGAGTAAGTGTTTTGAGCAAGACCAACTTTGTAAATTAGCAACTCCAACTAAAAATTAATTGGCTGATTTATTCAAATCAGCAAGGAAAATAGCTTTTAATTCTATGGAAATAAAATGGAAAACATGGAATAAAATTGAAAAATTAGGATAGAATTGGCATTGGTTGCATTACCACAGGCTATCTGTCTATTTATATTTATTCACCACTATATTTTGTGAGGCCATAAAAAGATGTGACGAACATTAACACTT